CTTGGTTATGGGGTTCCATGTATGTCCTGCTTGCTAACATCTTGCACCCTGCTGTTATGTGCTGGATTGTCTCAAGTGCATTTTTGCACAGCCTGCTCCTGGGGTCTTGCCTGGTGTGGTTGACCCCAGCCACAGTTTACATGTGACATCAGAGCTACTGGCGAGAAAAAAAACAGTATCATGCTCCTTTGCCCTCTAGCCATCCTTTGAACATATTTGAGACTTAGCCAAAATGCCAGATATTGGATGGCCAGTGGAGAATATCTGGTTTATTCTCCTGGTGACCATCTCTCTGCTTCTTCAAGCAGCTGGCAAAGCCTGTGAGTGCTTGTTTGGCAGCTTCCAAGTCCTCAGGTATAGACAGCTTGCTGTACTTCTTAACAAGTGCACAAGACAACCCCAACAAGGTGGTTTTACAGGTGGTAGACACAGACCATCCTTCCTGACTAATTTTACTTGAGTTCTGCTTCTTGTTAAGTGTCCATTTCACTGCTTGTAGCATGAAACGGTACCTGCAGCCCAGTAAAAGTGCTGTCTCATCTTTATATACACCATCACAAGACATTTTGATGTCACCCAGCCTAGTCTCAAGAATGTGAACAAGATAACAAAAGACAGGCCCCCCCCCAAAAAAGAGCATCTACCCAACGGCAAGACCAATGTCTGCTTCTTTGTGCAAAGAACAGGAGGAGCACTACCAGAGGCCGACAAAATGACCTCTACCTGGCTACAAACATTCATGTTTCTTACCAAATCATCAGTAAAAGACTCCATAAGGGTGCCACAAGGGTCCAACAACATTAGAGTGACCCGTATTCACACGCCAGTTTAACTGACTATGTATTACACTACAATGATCCCCCGCGTAGTTTGGAAGATCCCAGTTTTTCATTCAGTTTTCACACAGAAGGATCTGAGTCACAGAGTATCTTATAACCAAGGGATGACCTCAGTGTAACCAGTCAGCCATCAGTTCCACATCAGCTCAGTGCTCCATTTAAATGTTTTATAAACATCTGAAAGGGATCGATAGTCTTATTTGAAAATAAAAGTCTCACAATCTAAACAACCAATGAAGCATCAAAATTCAGTGAGAATTTCGGTTCAAACTTACTTCCCCAACAGGTTGATGTTCTGTGATATTGCTGCTCCATTCTCATTCAAGATGGAATCCATCATTTTCACGGGGTCCTCAAGACTCAGCACTGAGGGTTTATTAAGCCGTAGGGCACTACTAGTTGTTCCACTGCTGTCTAGAGTGCTGCTCCTCTGACTGTCATCAGCTGCGGCTGCCGACACAGCTTCAGTGTGTTTGAGGCCTTCTGTAATGGTGGTGCACACCTCTGTTTCAGCTGGAAGCACTGGACAGGTCTCAAGCTCTACTTCCACAATTTCGACATCGCTGAAGGAAAACATATAGAATATATTTAACTATATGAATATATTTAAAACTTAACCTAAACACAACTTTCTAAAGTCAGTGTATTGTCATTTTACTTAACTGGCAAAGAATTTATGGCACTGGTTGCCATATACATTACCAGTCTTTAAAGTAAAATATTTAGTGGGAAAATTAA